TAATAATAATAATAAATTGTGAAGTCCTAGATTTTATGTCTTTTTTCATCCATGTATGTTTGAAAGATCCCATGATTCATTCTTTTCTGGCAACATACAGTAATTATTCATGACAAATAACACCTACTGCGTGTGGGTGGGAGAAAAAAAATCGAGTCATGTTGACATGTTTCAGCAAGCAAGGCGTCAGTTTTTCACACACATGAGAGCTCATCATTTCAGCTACTTTCCACACGGTGGATTTATGGTTTTAGAATKAAATGCCTTTCCGTTTTGGTTTCTTTTTATTGCTAAACGTGGTTACTGAGTTCTCCCTGCTATTTATAAAGCGTAAAAACAGAAACTAAAGCTTAAAATTTGTGTATCACAGCAAATGAAACCACAAAAACATCTAACCGGAACCTGTGTAAATTTCCCTTCAAAATAAAGCTTTGTTCAGGAAAGAGCTCAGAATTTTGATACTGCTATAAATTACACATTAAACCCGATGTAATGTATTGTTTAAGATGTAAAATTATCATAAAGGTCATTTTAAACACATTAAAACTATATATTGTTATTTTAAAATCAAGCATGTTAGCTATGGGATAAAATTAACCCCTGCTGGGTGCCTGTTTAGCTTTATTTTGAAAACKATTCCCGGAAATGAGCGTGTAACGTCTCGTGCTTGTACTGTGTTTTTTTGCTGTCTTTTATTAAGCGAGTGACAGGAGGAGGCAGAAGTTTGTTTTGTTTTGTTTTGTAGCTTCTTTATCATGGAGGCTCGGGCTCATTTCTGCCGAGAAGAGATCAACAATACGGTGTGGGAGGTCCCGGAGAAATACACCCGGCTCAAACAGGTCGGAACCGGGGCGTACGGCTCGGTGTGGTGAGTAAATGATGGTTTGCTGGAGGTCGTTGTGTGACGGAGACGGTCGGGACTGGGGCTGAGCATGAAGCCGTGTTCAGTTTGAGCCTGGCCGTCACCACAGCCAGCCTACGGTGGGCCTTACTGATTTATATCCTGCACACCGACGTGCTGTCAACACTGATAGTTACAGTAACTCATATCAACTAGTTAGCACCCTTCTCTTCACCACCCGGGTTAGCTCGAATATCACTGAACACGTCTTAAACATGTATTTATTAGATCTGCAGTAATATGGAATATAATTTCAATATTAAACAAGGCCTATGTGTCTTTTACCTAGCTATAGTTATGTGCAGATAACATATATACAACATATTATCATTTAAGTGAACTTGGACTTCAGCTCTTCATCGTTGTCTCCTTATTGTTAATCCAGGTGAAACTATAAACAGAAACAACATTTAGAGGTTAATTATGATGTTTGACGTGAATGAGTTTAAGGTTTTAAAATCCTGGAAAAGTCGTTATATTTTATGTATTTTTTCCAGCCATAAATGTTTCAATGTTTATTTTAGGTTTGGATTAGCTGTGCAGTTTGTTTGCATTGTAATAAAAATAGTTATCTCACAGGATGTGGTGCTCAAAGTATGAGTTGTGAATGACTCTCAGCTACTGCAAACACCAAATTTTAGCTCACTATTTGTAAAATTAAATCTGTTACAGTCATTTTTGTGTTGACTCATTTTGATAAGCTACTGTGACCATCTTAAATAAGACTGACTCCAAAAGTTATTCAGTTGTCCGTGTACATACTGTGATTCTTTTCTGTGGTTTTAATTCAAATTTGACCAGTGATACTCGTGATATTTTGCTAACAGCTGGATTTCACAGATGTTTCTTGGCAATAGCCAAAAACTTTAATTTGATTAAAACAATCATTTATTATATATCTATTTGCTCAAATGGGTTTCTCTAACACAGTTTTTTATTTACATACTTTTTTTTTTACAAAAATTACATAGACAAGCCTTTAAAACACTATGTGTGTTATTAATGAATAGCCTGTAAACTCCTTTATGTTCTAAAATCATATTAAGTTGCTAGATTTGTGTTAAACTTTAAATGTAATTTGTATTTAGAAAGAGATCCATCATTTATGTGTGCAAGTGAGGCTAAGTGAAAGTTTTAAAAAAAATCTTTGTAGTATTAAATGTTATAAAGTGGGGGTTGAGATCTCAGATTGACATGGCTGACCTTTACAAGAGCTCCTGATCTGGTTCATCTTTATCTCTCTCTATTTCTTTACTGCATGAACTGCAAGGTGAAAAGACAGTAGAAAGAGTCAACAGAAATATGATCCCCTGTCTTATGTAATGTGCTTTCTGCAGACCTTTTGTTGACATGGATGAGCTGCTGCAGATGTAACCGACTATAAGTGACTCCATCAGTCTTATAAAGCGTTSTGGATGGAAGTCATTTGAATCATGTGTGTCGGTGGATGTGTCTCCAAATAGCTCAACAAGCCTCTCCTCCCACAGATTGGTGCCCTGCAGATCACTGCAAGCGTGCACACAAGAAGTGGCCAAACATTTACACCAAAACCAACAGACCACCACTCAGACTGCCCCTTACCGTCACCTGACAGCGTTGTCCTCGTTGCCCGCAAAACTTCTGAGAGTGAAATCAGACAATTCGGTCATTTCCCCCCACAGCTCTTACTCTGTGAGAATGAAATCATGATAAAGTTGGAGAAATTACCTTTTTCTGCAAAAATGCTACATGAAAACAGAGTGCTGAAGTTTACAGAAAAAGCTGTAACTGAGCCGTTAAAGCTGAAGGAAGAGAGCTGAAAAAGAAAAGGAGCAAAACGCTAGTAAAAAGAAGAAAAAGACTAGCTAAAAACAAACTATGAAAAAGCTCAGTAAGGCAGCAAAAGGCTGAATAAAAGTAGCGAAATGCTAGCAAAAATCTAAACGTTTATAAAAAAATAGATAAAAGTATAAAAGGACTGGATATGAGCTTAAAGTAGCAGCAGCCTTCATTAAAGTATCTAAAAGCTAGAAGCTAAAAGTAGCAAAAAGCTAAGAAAATACTAATAAAAAGCTAAATAAAATCTAAAAATAGGAAAAAGCTACGTAAGGCAGCAGAATGCTAGCTACAAACTAAAATCAGCAAAAGACTGAATAAAAGTAGCAAAATGCTAGMAAAAGGCTAAAAGTATATAAAAATAAATGAGATTATCAAAAACAACTAGCTATAAGCTTAAAGTAGCAAAAGCTTTGAAAGAATCAAAACGTTAAATGCTAAAAGTAGCAAAAGGCTAGTTATTACTAATAAAAATCTAACTAAAAGCTAACAAATAGACAAAATGCTAGGTAAAAGCCAAACATTTAAAATAGGGATGCACAATATATCGGCATTAATATCRGTATCGGCTGATATTTGTCATTTTTTAGAATATCGGTATCGGCCCGATACGTAAAATGGAGCCTAAATTAATGTCAGATATTGATTTTCCATTTTTTARCTTTTTGTTTCTGTTTTGGTAGGCGAAATGTTTGGTCGAGTGGTATCTGTTTGATCATGATAGTGATATTGATGCTGCGCAGCCAGGAATAACTGAGTAGGGAGCCATGTCAGAGGTCTAGTAGTGTATTTATGGTATCAAAAAAGGCACAAGTGTGTTTGTGCGTAAACGTATATAAATAATTTGTGTTTGTTTAATATCGGTAAATATCGGTTATCTGCCACAACACAATAATATCGGATATCGATATCGGCTGAAATTTTCATACAGGTGCAACCCTAATTTAAAACACAAGTTAAACGTAGTAAAAGGTTAGCTAAAAGCTACAATCAGCTTACACATTTAAAAAGCTTGTGTAGCACTGTGGTAATGGTGTAAAACACAATATTTTTGTGTGTTTTTTCCTCAGCTCGTCGATAAATGAGAAGACTAAAGAGAAAGTGGCCATCAAGAAGCTCCACAGGCCTTTCCAGTCCGAGATCTTCGCTAAGAGAGCTTATCGAGAGCTCCGATTACTCAAACACATGAAGCATGTGAATGTGAGTAGCTTTCGCTCCGTCCAGCAGACTGTAGGTTTCTTTAGTTTTTGGAGATAATTAGATCCTCGGAGGCCTCATGATTAGCTGTGAAGACGGTGAAGATCTCTCTCTCTCATTCCCTCTAGGTGATAGGACTTATGGATGTGTTTACACCTGCCTCAACCTTGGATGATTTCCAGGACTTGTGAGTACTCCTGTCCTCCTAGTGACACGTAGAACTAACGATCCACAGGATCATGTTACAAATCCAGACTTGTCGTCTGCTGTTGTTTGTTTTAGGGTCCAAACATTGTGTTTTCCTGTATGTAATGTGAAAAATGTATTTGGCATACTGTTTTTGGCAGAAGTGACTCAGGTAACTCTGACATGTTTCAACATGTTGCCATGTTAACAGATAAAAATTAGCTGTGGAGGAGTATGGAAAATGTTTTTGGTCAGTTGTTTTCCAGGAAAAAATGGGCTCTTTCTGCTGAACATGGCCCTCCCAACTAAAAACACATCGCTGTCTCAAATATCTTTTTGTGCTGTATTGTGTGCTTTAACTGGACATATTTCCTGGCCATGAGCAACAAATACTATAAAAATATAAATTACTTTCTAAGCAGTCAGTAACTCAACACAGTTAGACTGGAAAAGTCTTTTTTTTTTTTTGTTTGTGTGTTTTAATATTTCACACTTAAAATGATAAAACTTTTTCCCCAATGCAGAATGCAATAAAAGGAAATGGTTTGAATTCTGTGTTTACAGTTCAAATGACTGTTTTCAGGTAGTGTTTTGTTCTGTGCTCTGACTGGATATGAACACATTCTTTAGCTCAATTGTGACATGAAAAGCATGACTTAATACTTCCTCTTAAAATCCTGAAAACAGTGTAGTCTACACTTTAAATTACACTATATTTTGATTTGAAAGGCTGAATATGTTATTTTTGTGCGTTTGCTTGAGGTTAACTACATCATTGCACTGAGCGTTTCAAACATAAACTATTAAAGCTCTTTGGAAAACTCACCTGGATTATAGCATCAACAAGGTGTGGTACTCAGAAACACAAACATCTCACCGTCTCTCCGTGTTTTCCTCAGTTACCTGGTGATGCCTTACATGTTCACTGACCTGTCGAAGGTGAGAGGTCACCTCGCCGAAGACAAAGTCCAGTTTCTCGTCTATCAAATGCTCTGTGGACTCAGGGTGAGACTTTTCCCAAATATTAAATGTCATCATCAAGTAAAGTTTTGTGTGACATTTAGTTTTTTTTTATGTGTATCAGAAACACTAATGAAATAGTTGAATACCAAGATGTGATGAGTTAATGGGGCTCATCTCTGCTCCCATTGATAAGTTTATGTGAAAACTGAACCAATAAACTSCCTTTTTCCTTTGCAGTATATTCACAAGGCAGGGATCATCCACAGGGTGAGTACCAGTCATTATGAGAGCAGTTTTTTWAATCTTTAAAAACACTTAAAAGATACAGCAAAACAAAGAATTTGTACGTTGTTTCGCAGTAGTTACTTTACAGTTTGTTGATTTATTTAATCATTTACCGCTGCGTCAGATTTAAACCTGCCCAAACAGGTACGGTGAGTGGAGTCCTCTGATGCTTGACTGCGTGTCCCGAGTTGTTAGCTCACGCCCGTTTAGCTCAGAAACAAAAACATGTGGAGGTAATGCTACGCTAACATTTTTTTTATACTTTACAGCTTTCACCTGGAAATAACCAGCTCCTTTGTTCTTTAGGTTTTGAGCCTTTCTTAATCATTAAAAACCCATCTTTAAGGTCGTTTCTTACGTGTACTGTGAGGATTGGACAGGAATCTTTAAGTAGAGAAACGTAGAGGAGAATTTGCAAAAACATGCAGTTTTGTTATCAAATATCAGTTTGATATGTTGCTTTTTGTAGAGTTCTCATTCTGAAATCATTCTTGCATTATAGCATTTTAGACAACTTGTGCCGACTTATGAAAATTTTATCATTAAATTACTCCTAATTGTGACCATTACTGTATGTGTACATCTAAAAGTGGCTTCCATTCAATTTTTTTATTCCATCTTCAGCGTAGACATCTTTAGTGTTGGACAAAATCTTCATAAGTTGCTAAAACGTTTTAGTGTGACAGGACCTTTGCGTCTTTGTTGTCATCATTATATTGTTCCCTTCTGATGTTGTTATCCTTAGTTTAGTCTCTTCTTTTTATCTAATCATCATTGTTTGTGTCCTTTCGGTGATAATTTGTTTATTTTTTTTAATATGGTTATCTCTCGGCATTCAAACTGGACGACAAAGTAAGAATTTCATTGCTCAGGAAAACATGTTTTCATCTGTGCATATGRCAATAAACACTTTGAATCTTGAATCAAAGATTAAATAATTAATTGATTAATTAATTAAGGATTTTTTTCATTTAATTAAAAAACAAACAAAAAACATACTTACATACAACAAAACAATACAAATAAAATAAAATGAAAGGTAGC